CGATCCCCGATTTTTTTCCTCTCGATTCCGATCTTTTGAAAATCACGTGATCGGCTCCGATCCCCGATCACGTGATCGGATCGGGACATCTCTAAGGGGAAGTGTGCTGCTTCTTCTTAAAGGGACAGGCCGGTAGAGAATTAAAGTCACCCTACAGAAACATGCACTTCTGTACTGTCTATACGCCATATTCTTCAACAGATGCACAGCAGTTATGCGCACCTACTCTCAGCATGTGTTTTAAATAGATATGATATATTTGAAGTAGTTTTCCTCTGTATAAACAAAGTGGTATTCCTTGTTTCTGATCAGAAGATGCACAGGCTGCTGGACGAGCAGTCTCTGCTCTGCTCTCAGCTCAGCGTCCTACCTGGAGCGGGACCCCCTTCCTCGAGCCTGGCCCGCCCCGGCAGGACGGTAGCCACTCAGTGCTGCATGCGGCTCGGGACCCCCCCCGCAGTTGAGGAGACCCTCAGACAGTCCCCCCCTGGATCAAAGTGCCTCTGTGAGCGCCTGGACATGAAGCTGGACATGATGGGCTTCCTGCAGAGAGTAAGACATCACGTTAATATATGAAGGGAAACAAGTAGAGAGAGGATGACGTGTCGAGGTTCAGTCTTTGATACTTTTATATTATTAAGTAAACTCCTGTCATGTTTTTCAGTTGAAGGAGTCTCTGCGTCATTCTGTGAACACAGACTCCTTGGAGTAAAAGGTGAGTTCATTTAATCATAATTGAAATGTCTGCCTGCATACATCTGATATAGAAATTCATTTATTAACAGAAAATCAATATTTGAGTCAACAAGAAGGAAGATTATATCGCTTTCTTTTCTTTTTCAATATATCAAAAGTTTACTTATTTGATTAACATTGCAGCTGCATAGTCAATGAAGAACACAGAAAAAGACAACACTTAATGAAGCGGATATGGATTGATTAAATGCTATGGAGCCCTAACCCTAGTTTAGACCACATAACTGCCCGTGTTACGAATAAATATTGCAATTTATACCCGAATAAAATGTCATTTTAGGTTTAATTTAAATTGTGCTTGTATATCATCCTGATGTGCAGGTGTCCGTGGTGCTGCCTGAGAACCAGGGGGGGTCCTGAAGTCTTCCATTCACTGAAGAATATTTTTTCAGATGTACCCCTTCTGTAATAATTGTTAATATGTGCCTCTAGAACCACTACGAGCTGCATGAGAAGCAAACTTTGTTGTAAAGGAAAGATGTGTAATAAAAGAATAACGGCATAGGACAGGCTGTCTAATCATAAAAACATGTTTAAAATATATATATTTATATAAATGTAAGTATTTAATACAGATACACACGAGGCTTCTGCTCAGAAAGCACAAAGCTTCGTGTGAATAATTCCACTGCAATAAACCGTAGAACAGTGAAACACGTTTGTGCTCTTTCTTACGTGTCTGTATTATTTCACATCGAGGTTGTTGTTGTTTGTTGTGCTGGGGGGACGTTTGGAACAAAAGCTCCAGCGGTCTACAGAACACTTCAGCAGGATGTCTCAATTACCAGAGGATAATCCCCCATCAAGACTTCAAAAGGGTTTGATTATCACAAGGGTCTTTTTGTAGGAAAGAGCTGAAAAGAACGGGCAGAAACACTCCTTCCTGTTCCTGTGCACTTCCATACCCATTTACATGTCCTATTATTTTATTTGATATGTTCCTGAAACT